TAAGAACTCGGGCACCATGAACAATTATCCAACATGGCGTCGGACTCTGCTGCGCCGGGCCAAGGAGGAGGAGATGAAGCGGTTCTGCAAGGCTCAGGTGCGGCCTCAGGGTTCCCAGAGGTTCTGATGGGGTCAGAGTGCTTAGACTGGGGATCAGAGCTCCTCTGGGACTCTGTTCTTGAGCCATCACCAGACTCCTGGGCTCCCTGTCTTATACTCTTCAGGCCATCCAGCGGCGACTAAATGAGATCGAGGCTGCTCTAAGGGAGCTGGAGGCCAGAGGCACGGAGCTGGAGCTGGCTTTGAGGAGCCAGAGCAGTGAGTGAAGACAGGGGAGGGATAAACTAGGAGACCTCTGCCTCCTGGCACTGTGTTCTGCCCCCAGCAACCCCCAAACTGCTAGGTCTGGCTCACGGCAGGCTCTATTCCTTATGCCATGACTCCTATGATCCTGGCTGGAGGCCTGACTGGCCCCCTCTCTTCCTTATCAGGTTCCCCCGAAAAGCAGAAGGCATTATGGGTGGAACAGCTGCTACAGCTCGTTCAGAAGAAAAACAGCCTGGTGGCCGAGGAGGCTGAGCTCATGATCACGTAAAGGGTGTCAGGGCTGGGGAGTGGGGGACAGTGGCATTGAGTCAGGCAGGCCCCAGCCAGGTCTTTGCTCACCCTAGGCATCTGTGCTTTTTCTATTCCTGCCCTCCAGAGTGCAGGAGCTGAACTTGGAGGAGAAACAGTGGCAGCTGGACCAAGAGCTGCGAACCTACATGAACCGGGAAGGTAGGCAGAATGTGGGGAGAGGCTGGTATTTGCACAAGCCTCGTGACTGCAGATACTGCCCAGCAACAGTCCTCCAGTCTGAGTACCTCTGAGGCTGAAATGCCTCCTGAATTGCCTCTTGAACTGAAGGACGCCAGAGGATGGGGCTCCAAGCCCCTACTCTGCACCTTCAGTCAGAGTGCACAACTGAGCTTTTACACCAGATTTCCTTTAAGAATGATGTTGCAGCTAAACAAGACTAGAAAACCATTAGTGTTGATGAGCCAATCTCACAGGGCGGGAAACAGCAGGGGCTGTAGAAGTCATACAGGCCAGGCCTGTGCCTCTTGTGCCTCTCTGCTGCATCCTCTGTCCTCTTAAGTTTCATCTCCTCCCTCCAGAAACCCTAAAGACAGCTGCCGATCGGCAGGCTGAGGACCAGGTCCTGAGGAAGCTACTGGATGTGGTGAACCAGCGAGATGCCCTCATCCGCCTCCAGGAGGAGCGCAGGCTCAGTGAGCTGGCCTCAGAGCCTGGGGTCCAGTGCTAGAAGACGCCTGACCTATCTGCCATGAAGACCGCCTTACCCCAGGACAGCATTGTCCTATGTTCATCTGGGCTGCCTGGGAGAGGGCCTCAGTGTTTACAATAAAGTTTCTGACATAAACAGGACTTCTGGCTAGCCACAGGTGTGAGGTGGGGACTGAGCAGGGAGGGCAGACAGGTGGGAGCCCAAAGGTCTACACTGTGACAGTCACACTGACCCCTGGCCCCAGTCACTGCCTCTACAAGGAAATAAGCCGAGCCACAAAAGTGTCAAGCTTTATTGTTCCTCAACTCTCTCTCCCTCCTGCCGCCCTAGAAGCAGGGCTGGCTGGGATTCTGGGCCCAAGTCCTGGGCCTCCCTTGCCCTTCCCAGCACATGCTGAAGCTCAGTCCGGGTCTTACACAAGCTCTTGGCCTCCTGCACGTGGAAGAGGTGGAAGGCACCTGCCCCCAGCACCAGTCCAACACTGGGGGTCCAGAGCAGTAGAGCAGCTTCCCTGATCCATCCTCCGGCCGCCAGGGCACACAGCAACGCCAGGAGAAGAAGCCCTAGCCCAATTGCATAGCCGGCCACGGTGGCCCACCAGTGAGCCTGAGCCATGCCCTGGTCCACTTCTCCCCAGGCCTCCCTTAGCACACTGGTCAATGGCGAGCTCTCTGCTGGTCCTACAACAAGGCAGGACAGTGGGGAGGCAGAATAATGGTCAGAGTGGAGGGGGTACCTGTGGTCAGAAGGGCCAAAGGATGTGGATGACTCACCATGAGTAGGGCTGGGGTTGTGCTGGGGAGGACTGTGTCTCACACACAGGGTAGCCATCAGGGCCTCATGATCAGAGAAGGGGGGGCCGCTGTAAGGGTCATGGCCTGTAGTAGTTTTGAGAGTCTTACAGGAGATGTATAGCCCAGATACTGCCTAGGAAAAGGGCCAAAGAGAAACTTCTATTTGGAAGTATGTTTCCAGAGAACCAGTTCCTGGCTATCCATTCTCCAGCTGCCAGTGATGTAAGACTAGACCAGCTGGACAAAGGATCAGCACAGGCTGGTGAGAGATGAAGAGACACGGAGGGTGCGACGGGGAGAGGCCTGACCTTATAAAGTACATAGTCGATGCGGATGCCCAAGGGAAATGGCCCCAGGTCCTGTGGCTTGACGTAGCAGTTCTTGGGTACCATTGTACAGCCTTCTTCAGAACCCTAAGTGAAGAGTGGGCTTGAGTGAGGATGCAGGGGAAGGAGGAGGGAATGATGCTGAGGGTGCAGGTGGAGAAATAATTAGACAGGTCCTCACCTTGAAGTCCCGGGTCTCCAGATAGGCATCATGCAGCCCGGTCCACTCTTTCAGCAGGCGGCAGCCCAGGTCCTTTGGGTGCAAGTTGAGGTCCCCACACAAGAGAACCACATCAGCCTTCTTGGATGTGTGGCTGGAGGAACCAAGATGGTGAGGCAGGAATTCTTCCCTCATCAGTTCTGCCCTAAAAGTGGGACCTTACAGCCACCCTTCAGTCCCTGGATCCCACCCTATTTTCCCAGTTAAGCCCAGGCTCACACACTGGATGAACTGGGCCAGTTCCCAAGCTTGGGCCACGCGATGTGCTAGGTAAATGTCCTTCTGTCGATTGTACTCGGCATGGAGCTGCGCAAGATAAAGGAGACAGTAACAGGTGAGACTCAAGGTCCCAAGGGCAGGTATAAATCAAGTTTGTCACTTGGCATGGTGCTTGGTAAAATATGTGTGAACTTTGCCTACTGGCCTTAGGAATCCTGCCCCTACAACTCACCCCAAGGCAACTCCACCAAAGGCGTCCCCTCTCTCCCTCCCAGGACCAGGCTGCCTCTCCCAGCCCTAAGCACTGTGGGCTTCACTCACGTGGGTCACGTAGGCATTGAGCACCAATCCACTTAGATGGAGTACCAGCAGCCCCACAGCCTTCCCACAGAACCAGTCACAATGATGGATCTGCAGGCAGGAGTGGGACAGAACTCAGAGCACTGCCCCCCTCTCTCTGCCCATCCCTTGCAGTCCTAGGAAGGTTACCTCCTTTACCACGCGTTAGTGGAGGTGGGGGAGGGTGGTGGAAGAGTTCCAGATCAGACTCACCATGTAGGGGTAGCCATTGAGGGTGAAGACATGCTGGGTGAATTCCTGGATCGGGTGTTTGGAGAAGACACAGAGACCGCTGCCAATGATGCCGCTGAAAGCCAAATCCTGGTTAGCAGTCACAAAGCAGGCAGGTAAATACCCAGGCCTTTCCCCCTCCCTTGTCTCCCAGATCTTAGCAGCTACATTTTTTTCTCTCTCTGCAGCTGATGGAAGCTCACAAAGTGTTAGTTGTTTGTGTGGGGTGATAGGATGGCCTGATAGTAAGTCTGATGAGCTGCAGAGCTAGATCTTCCTCATTCCACCTTCTCCTGCTTCCACACCCAGAGGAGAGGATGCTGGGGGAGAGGAAGCAGGGTGCAGGCAGCATAGGGAGGAGGGGCTGGCAGGGCCAAGCACCTCAAGGTGTGAAACTAGGCTTCCAGGCCAGTTGGCTGCTTACCTCCTGAAGTAGTGTGCAGCTGGGTAGGTGGGCAACAGCTTCTGTCTCAAGTACTGGAAGTCCTGTTCACTCCACACCTGGGGGAAGGGGTTAAAGATACCTTCCTGGCCCTTCCCCCTGGGAGAGCGCCCCCACCCTAGCTGCCCCCCTGCAGCCCGGTTCCGCACGGCCCCACCTCCTCCAGCAGAGCTAGGTCGAAGCTCTCCAAGTTTAGAAAGTCTCCCAGGCGCTTCACGCGGTCGGCGCGATGCTTGCTCAGGTACGGAATGCCCCTGAGGACGAGACGCGCAGGGGGGAGGTGACGGCTGCGGGCGCTCGGCGCTCCGGGGCAGTACCGGAGCTGGGGCCAGGGGCCGGCCGTGGAGGTGCGGGTTGCCCCCCGGACCCCGAAGCTGTAGGGCAGGGGAGCGCCGTGGCCCGGATGTAAGGAAGGCCTCCTTCCTCTGGCAGTGCGGGTGCGGGCGGGACGCGGGGCTCACTCACCAGCAGTTGAGGTTAAAGACCCTCAGTCGCAGGGTGAAGTTGGGCTTCATGGCGGGGACCCCCGGCAGCGCGGGACGGTTCGGCCTCCAGAGCGACAGCCGCGGCTGGGACACTGGCGGGCGGCGCTGCTCCCGGGGCACTGCGTACAGGTGGCCACCCGGCTCCCGCGCTCCCCGGAAGGCCGCGGCGCTCAAGTGCACGCGCCTGGGGGCGGATTCCCGCGTTACCCAGGCAACCGGCCGGCGGGGCCCCAATCTGGCGGCGCGCCAACCCGGAAAGGCGCTCTGCGGTGAAGGCTGGTGCTGACCGAAGGCAACGGCCGCGACGGAGGACCCTGGGCGGGGGCAGAGGGATCCCAGAGGCGAGGGCGGGTGGGGGCTCCCAGAGGAGGTTCCAGGGAGCGGCGAGCCGGACTAAGGCACGCGGGACGTGGGCTCCGCGTTCCTTTTCTCCGGAGCTCGTCCCTGGTGGCGGCTGCCTATGGGTCCTCTCCCGCCTCTCTACCGGCTCAACAGCAACAGGCGCAAAGTTGAGGAAAGGCCGGGACTTCGCCGACCGGGGCCCCGCCCCTCGCCCGCCCCGCCCCCTCTTCCCCGCGAGCGGCGGGGGCGGGCCGCGCGGTGGTTGCCCTGGCGACACGCAGTGTTTGTGACCCGAGGAGTCCCCGCGCGCAGGCATGGCGAGCCAGCAGCCGTCGGTTCCGTGCATCTCGCGGTCGCCACCCGAGCAGCCGCTTCAGGTGAAGGTGGTGGGGCTTTTCAAGAGCTCCAGCTTTCAGATCGCGAAGAGCGCCGCTGAGGTAACTGCTAAGACACCGCAAGTGCGACCCGCTTCCCGGTCTTGCACCACCTGGTGGCGGGGGTCGAGGTTCAGGGAGGGGTCGTCCCGGCTGGGGATGGTTGTGTAGGAATGGATCGGAGCGTGCAGGTGGCAAGTGCCGGTCTGGGCGGGAGTTCCACTTCGAGAAGGGCTGCCTTTAACGGGAGATTCGAGTGAAGGAATCGTTCAGAACCTTGCTGGGAATGAAAGGTGATTCCTATCTATACATTAACACACATTTTATTCCACACTAATTTTTAATTGAAATCATAGCTTTTGAAACTCCGTGGGAAAAATATTACCATATAACTTCATAAAATACTTAACAAGCAACATTATCATTAATTGAATGTCACTGAAAACAGTTGATTAGATCTGACTACTAGATATTTATACTAAATTATAAATTTTATACTAAAAATATTCTAATTTAAAAAAATACTACCATATAACTAGCTGATTTTTTTTTTTTTTACAAACTCCTTCCCCAAATGGTTTTTGAAAGCTATTCATTCGGGAGCGGGGGGGGGGGTTGTTTTTTGTTTTTTCCTTTAAATTTTCTATAGCAGTCACTACATCACAGTCGAATTAGCTGCTTAAGGGATTTCTTAACAAATGACCCCCAAGTGCTCTGGAGAATCCAGACATTTCTTTGTAAACATGCAGAACACTGTAAAATGAAAAACACTTTAAGTAACTGAAAGAATTTGGCCAGGTCTGCAATGCTGCAGCACTCCTATAACCTAAACACAGGAGAAATGTAGAAGTATGTGAAATATTGAAATGTAAAATTCAGCATGTCTTTGGGGTTTGTTCCAGAAATGCTTTTATAAGATTAGGCCAAGCTTCTCTCCTTCAAAACTACACTAGACTACAGGACAAAGCCTTATTAAAGTTTGTATCTCCCAAAGTACCCAGCTGGATCACTTCACACAAAATGTTCCCAAGTAGAAGAAATCTTAAGAATTTCCTAACTTCTTGCCTGCTCCAAGTCCACAGAGTTATAGATTTGAGTTTGTATCAAATCAGGAAATAGTGACTAATTTGTGAAGTAGGTGAAGTCTTAAGATGAAGAGAACAAGTGATAAGAAGTCTGTGAAAAGTCTGTGTTAGCTGGGCTGATGGGATCAGCAAAGTTATATGGCCCACAACTGTATTTAATGAGTTGGAGGGATTTTTTTCTCTTGCTTTTTCTTAGCTTCTTATCTGAAGGAGCACGTTTTCTTCACAGTGTAGAGAAGATGTTGGCAGATCTTTTTCTGTAAAGTCCATACATAAAACTGAAGGCCTCTGGAGCCACGGGCTCTGTCATGACTACGCAACTCTGTCCTTGTGCAAAAGCAGCTACAGAAAGTGTGGAAATGAATGGTGGTTTTCCAATAAGACTTTTATTCTGGACAGTGAAATCAGACTTGTATATAATTTCACATGATGTGAAATGATTCTTCTTGTGATTCTGTTTTAACTGTGTAAAAATCTAAAAATTATTCTTAGTTCTCAAGTCTTAGAAAAATAGGCAGTGGTCTAGATTTGGCCTGCTGATCAGCTTGCCAACCCCTGTCAGAGAGGACACTAAGTCAAGAAAACAATGTCTTTATTATATTAATAATGTTGTTTTTCACTTAAGCTTTTGCCTACTGTAGCTCTATATGAGTATGAAAACAAATCAGTGTAAATTCAGTTACTTCTGTGTTAATAAAGGATCGTTGAATATATTTCCAACATGATCACTTGCAGGCAATCTCTGATACCTAATTAACTGATAGATTTATAAAGAGTAGTATTGCATAATATAGTCAATTCTGGAACAAATTATGAAGAAAGTATGATTAAGTATGCTTAATTTGAAAACTCTTGGGCTTATCAGTTACACCAGGTGGTCCCTCAGTGAAAAACAGCAGTCATCTTGCATGACTGCCTCAGAGCACAGACACTAGAATTGAGAAAAAGGACGTATCAGCTGTTGGTTGGGTGCAGTGGTCTAGGAAGGCAATGGCCAGATTGCTGTTGCCCTCTTCTGCTACCCCTGGTCCCAAGGCAGGGTACACTCCTGTCCTGGCTTTCTCCCCCTCAGACTATCTGCCCTTGAGGAAGTGTGCTAAGCCAGTGTCCCCTTAGACTATGACAGAAGCAGCCAGCTGACACTTTTCCCTGTTGGTTCATTTACTCCTCAGACCTGTTCAGAAAAGTGCTGCCTAAATATTATTGCTTCAACTGCCTTCTCTTGCTTTAGAAGAAGACAAACTATAACATTAAAAGGAGCATTAACATTTAAAAAAAAACTTAACAGGTATTGTTAACTAGAAAGAATTTTCTCTGATGCATACAGACAAAACAAAATAGATTAAGTCAATACATGCTCAATATCTAGACCAAGATATATTTAATATTTACTTCTCTTTTCCCCAGGGGCTATAACCACAACCATATCTTTTGGTTATTCTGTATGTCAGTGAATTAAAGTAATAACTTTTTTTTTTTTTTTAGTTAAAAGTACCCATGGCTCCACTGAGGTGTAGTAAGAGTTCATTTAGGGAAAAACTGGTCCTAAAGGAACATGGCAGATCACAAAACTGTTGGCATAAGCTCATTTGTTCACTTGTTTATGCAGTTGCTATGTGTGGATGGTCTACTATGTACCAGATATTGAGGCCAGTGGGAAACTAAGACATAGTCTTTGCCCTCGGGGAGCTTATTCTCTTCAGATGAGAGACAAATAAGTGTGGCCTGGGGAGGGACTTAATAGAGGTAAGCACAGGGCCCTCTGGGAGCTGGCAAGGGGCATCTAAGCCAGACTTTGCGACTTGGGTGTACACTGTGTAAAACTTCCTGAGCACTCCATAAAAATCAGGGGGAATGATTTCTACTTTAAAAGAGAATGTACTCTAAAATAATATTCTATTTTGAAACCTAGAGTCTGAAGAGTAATTATCCATCCAAATTTGAAGATCCTATAATAATTCCTGTACAAGAATTTGCATGGCATCAGTATCTACAAGAGAAAAAAAGGGTAAAGGATATTTTGGGTATGGGAAATGAGCAAAGTTTTGCCTGAATTATTTACCTATGCATTGCTTTGGAAAAACTGAAGCAGTAATTTTCATACAACTAGATTTTATTTCTCTAAATTATGCACTTTGCCTAAATTGTTTCAGTCATTTTACCAAGCTGATATTAAGAAAAAGTAAAACACTTCTAGGATTTTCTTTTGGAAGGCAAGCAATAAAGGTAAGTTTGACACTGTCAATGCTGCTATTTACTCTTGCTGATGACCACCCCCCTTTCCCTGCATATCACTTAGTCCTACTTCCTGTGACACCCTGGCACTCAGGTCACTGTGGCTTGGCACTGTTCTAGGCCTGAATTCTGGAAGGTTTCAGTGGTGTCCAGCACAGATACAGCAGGAGAGCATGTGGGGTTCCAGGGGAGGTCTGGGGGCAGGCATCAGCTTCCCACAGGATAACCATGTCCAAATGGGAGCTTCCTTCTCCGCACTCTCCCCGATAACAGTACCCCTTGAGGACCCCAGACCCTAAGGCTGGCAGAGATGATCCAGAGATGGCAGACTGGTTGAGTGCCAACCCTAATTAACTGGTAGTGCTGCCTGGACCGTGCGATTTGAAGGATTCTGAGGTGGCATCCTGGCTCTGTTACAGCTCGTTTTGGGGGCGGACTGGAATGGATACATCTCCTGGCCCAGTCCTGTAGAGAGTCCCAGTCTTGGTTTCCCTGCCAGACCCCGTCTCTCAGTGGCTGATGAGATCGCATTTCTCCTGATGAGAGCAGTTTTGATTGTCCTGTGTGTGACTGCACGAGGATGTCCTGTGATTATCATGCAGACTGTGTTGCTTTACAAGATCACTGTCTCAGTCACATGAATAGTGCAAGATAAAGTCACGAATACCATTTAAGTCTCATACCATTTTCACAGCAACAGTACATTTTCATTGTAATTCAAATAGAAATATAACAAACACTTAACCTCTGGTGCTTATTATATGCCAGGCTCTATTCTAATGACTTCTGTAAATATTAACTCTAATTATTACAGCATCTATGGTGACCAGTGGTTCTGGTTTGCCTGGATTGGAGGGGCTTCCTGGGATGCACAAATTTCATTGCTAAAGCTGGGATTGTTGTTGTTATTTAGTTGCTAAGGCATGTCTGACTCTGTGAACCCCGCGGACTGTAGTCCGCCAGGCTTCCCTCTCCTTCACTATCTCCTGGAGTTTGTTTGGTCCACTGAGTCGGTGATGCCATCCAACCATCTCATCCTCTGTTGTCCCCTTCTCCTTCTGCCCTCAATCTTTCCCAGCATCAGGGTCTTTTCCAGTAAGTTGGCTCTTTGCATCAGGTGGTCAAAGTACTGGGGCTTCAGCTTCAGTATCAGTCCTTCCAATGAATATACAGTTTTAAGCTGGGATGGTCTGAGGCAAACCCAGACAGTTGGGCATTCTAATGTAAAACAATGTTTTTCTTAATTTTTATCATCAAACTTCCTAAACTGCCTATCATACCATGTTCTCCACCTACAAGAGAGCCATGATTTCATGCTTTGAGGTTTGCACCCATTCTCTTCCATATTCCCACCATACTGGGAAGACTGGAATGGGTTCCATTCCGCAGTTTCTGACCCTTGCCAGTCTGGGTTGCTGACGTTGAGATGTTTTGTGTTCTCTTCTGCGTTTCTCACGGGGGCTGAATGAGACTTCCTAGATCATTACTGCTGCTTCTTCCCACATACCCTTTAACTCCTGTCTTTCTTTTCTCCACCTCCACCCGATCCTCATCTCCTGGATACTTGCCACCTTAACCTCTTCTTCCTCTTCAGTCTTTTGTTCTCCTACTGTCATGGGACTTCCCTGGTAGTCCAATGGCTAAGGCTTTGAATCGCCAGTGCAGGGGGCCTGGGTTTGATTCCTGGTCAGGGAACTAGATCCCCACGTGCTGCAACTAAGAGTTTGCATGCTACAACTAAAGATCCTGCATACCACAACTAAAAGGTCCCGTGTGCTACAACTGAGATGCAGCACAGCCAACTACATAAATATTTTTTTAAAAAGAGCACTGTCTTATGTTATACATAGTGCTTCTTAGCACATATGAGTTTAGTCTGAGCTGGCCTTATGCTTCAGCAGAATGTAATGCCAACTCTGAGGGATGGCTTCTGAACCTTCGGGAAGGCCTTTCCCCCACCTCCAAAAAAGGGAGCATCATACATCTTAGTGCTGGGAAGTCCTAGAAACCATCGGGTCCAGCCCGCTATCTTGAGGCAGGTGATGAGGGCTCCTTAAATGTAGAAGACACCCAGACAAGGCATGTAATGACTTCAGCTTCCCGATAAAGTCTGTCTGCTCCTACATTTCTCCTACCAGGCTAACTAAAACATCCACAGTTAAACTTTTCCTCTCCTTTTTCAAGTTTTATGTCCTATAAAATGTGAGACCCCTGATAAATGTAAACATTCCAGGGAGTACTGACTCAGGGGCTCTCTCAGTGACTGACAGTTCAGCATGAACAAGCGAGGAACTGGAAGTGAGCTCCTCCTGAGACAGGAGCCAGGAATGGAACATGTTGGCAGCTAAAGGCAACACTGTTCCCCAAACTGGCATTTCTCCAAGTGCGGTCTCCAGACCAGCAGAAGCAGCATCTCATGTTCAGTCCAGTCACGTCTGACTCTTTGCGACCCCATGAACTGCAGCACACCAGGCCTCTCTGTCCATCACCAACTCCTGGAGTCCACCCAAACCCATGTCCATCGAGTTGGTGATGCCATCCAACCATCTCATCCTGTTGTCCCCTTCTCCTCCTGCCCTCAGTCTTTCCCAGCATCAGGGTCTTTTCCAATGAGTCAGCTCTTCGCATCAGGTGGCCGAAGTATTGGAGTTTCAGCTTCAACATCCATCCTTCCAATGAACATCCAGGACTGATCTCCTTTAGGATGGACTGGTTGGATCTCCTTGCAGTCCAAGGGACTCTCAAGAGTCTTCTCCAACACCACAGTTCAAAAGCATCAATTCTTCGGCGCTCAGCTTTCTTTATGGTCCAACTCTCACATCCATACATGACCACTGGAAAAACTATAGCCTGACAGAATGTGGTCCACTGGAGAAGGGAATGGCAAACCACTTCAGTGTTCTTGCCTTGAGAACCCCATGAACAGTATGAAAAGGCAAAAAGATAGGACATTGAAAGATGAACTCAGATGGGTCAGTAGGTGCCCAATATGCTACTGGAGATCAGTGGAGAAATAACTCCAGAGAGAATGAAGGGATGGAGCCAAAGCAAAAACAATACCCAGTTGTGGATGGGACTGGTGATAGAAGCAAGGTTCAATGCTGTAAAGAGCAATATTGCATAGGAACCTGGAATGTTAGGTCCCTGAATCAAGGCAAATTGGAAGCATCTCACAGGATGCTGGTTAAAAAAAAAAATGCAGTCTCAGGCCCCATCCCAGAATCAGAAACTTGGGGTGGGGCTCAGGAATCTGTAATTCTGACTGCCCACTAAAACTCGAGAACAGCTGTCCCAGAAGATGCATGGTTTTGCCAGGACTGGCACTGGGTAATAATAAACCAGATTTCCTCCGAGGTGACGTTACCCAGCGGCCACACACTGAAGTTTAGCACATTGGCTGTCACTGTTGTGTGGATGAAAACACTTACACACTTAATTTTGAAGGGCTTAGGACTTAAAAATGTTAAAGAAGGTGAGTTCCCTTCCTCATGGCCCCTCACGTGTCCCAGAAACCCTGCTGACCCTCAGGAGGCATTTCCTCACCTAGTCTGACTTCCCTCCATCAAAAAGCACTCTCCACCCTTGGCATTGAAAACCGTGTCTTATTTAGGACCCCTAACCAAGTATGCATACAGTAAAATGTGCTCCAGAAATGAAGCTAGAGGACTGCATTTTGTTTTTACATTCATATATAACAAGTATGCTATGCACACTGACTTTTATTACCAGATTACCATCTATTTTCTAAGATTGTACCATTTTAAAGATTACTTTTAGGTTATTGATTTCAGCACCTTCAAAGTTTTGAAATGTTCTTAAATTCCCTTTGAGAGCAAAATTCTGAAAGATGGCAAAAAATATATTTTTTTAAAGGTTCAGTCCTGGAGTTGATCGAAGCTCTGGCTTGTGGGTTTAGCAAGGTTCACCCCCCACCCCTGTGCCCCATTAATTTTTTTTTTTTTTTTTGGCCCTTTTCCTTTACAGGAACTTAAAAATGAAGTCTGGGAATATTCTTCTTATGTGATGTGTTTTATTAATGATGAGCTCCTGGGTGATGCACTTGATCTACAGAAATGGGCCCACAAAGTGTGGGATATAGTTGATTTTAAGCCTCCTGCACTTTACGAAGCACTTACTGTGGATTATTCTGCAAAATTCTTAAGAGACACCAAGGCAAGTTACACTAATTTTTTTAAAAAGGAAAATAGTGGAATCTTGGAGCATTTATATTGATTAAGCACGAATTACTGATAAACCTAGCAAAGGGAATATAACAGAGTACAGGATTAGGTTAAATTCTCAATGAACCTGTGATCTCTAGCTGCAAAGACCTGGTGGGGTTTGGCTTGGTGGTGTGTAAAGCCAGCCTAGCTCACAGCAGGTAGATGACACAGGCAGAAGAGCATCCCTGTTCAAACATTTTGACTCCCCACGAGAAGCTTAGGTGTGTTAATTGGCATCTATTTAAAAATATTAAGACCTCCTCCCTCAGACAAAGACAAACCTATCCTTTACTCACTTTGCGCAGGCAATATTTTGATTAGTGTGCTGTAACACCTAAGTGGGAGCTACTGCACGGAGAGACTGGCAAGTGTGAGAAGAAGGGTGGCACCCAGGTGGCAGGAGGAGGAGCAGACAGGCTCTGGCCCTGGGGACTTTCCAGTGGTAGGGGACAGTCATGAAGCCTGAGGTCCAGCGAGCAAGAGATAGACATCAGGGTGGAATGGGCAACCTCTGCGAGGAGGTAAATGTATGCCATTTTGCTCAGGAACCTTGTTGCGGCAACAGCTGCCACATGCTGAAAATCATGTCATGCCCATGGTGGCCTGTGCCTACATAAAGACCCAGAGCTAGGATCTGAGCCATGCAATGGCAAAAACCTTGTCTCGTTCACCCTTGTTAAACCACTGCCTTGAACAGAACCTGAAACACAGGAGGTGCTCAGTGAATATTTTGTTGAATAAACAGTACACTTACAAAACGCTCTAAACTGTAAGGTGTGGAGAGGAATTTAACATTCACAGCAGTTCATTTCCAAAGGGCCAGGAGTCTCAAAGTACATGGTGTACTCTGGGGATGGCAGAGGACAGCAAGGAGGCCAGAATGAGTGGGAAAGGAGGCTGGGGAAATGACAGTACCAGTTGGGATTCTTGCTGCCAGCAGTACCAAGCTGTTCTGATTAACTTAAGGAGAAAAGGCATGTACTGAAGGGATGTTGGTAAATCCACAACTGACAGGAAAGTTGGAGAGCCAGCTTTGGAAAGCAGGCAGGAACCGAAGGAGACCTGGCAGCAGGAAAACATGGCCAGAGTCACGCCCCAGGAAGGTGCAGCCGGGGTGCTGCCGGGGGTGCCTGCTGGCCCTCAGGTCTCCCTGCTGCCTTCACTAAAGCATAACTTCTCTGCTCTCCTTGGGTCTGTGTCGCTCTCCAGAGGTCGAAGGCCCCAGGCAGAAGCACCTGACTAGTCAAGCCCAGGTTATGTGCCCACACCCTGGCTCTCACATGGTGGGGAGAAAGAGAATGTTCTGCAGAGGCTGGTGCAACCCTGGGAGGAGTTTCCCAAATAGGAAAGGTGCTTTCCTTTCCTATTTTTTTTGTTTTATAATAACAACAACAACAAAAAAACCCCAAAACCAGGTCCACTAAAAAAAGGTTGAACTTACTGTCCACTCTTAACCAGGGAGTTAGATTTTACCTAGAAGAAAGCAGACCAATAGAAGTTTTCATCAGAAGTATGACATAACCTTCTTTGGTGTTTTTTTTTTTAAATTTTAAAATTTATTTATTTTTCCCAATTATTTTTATTAGTTGGAGGCTAATTACTTTACAGTATTGTAGTGGCTTTTGCCATACATTGACATGAATCACCCATGGATTTACATGTGTTCCCCATCCTGAACCCCGCTTCCACCTCCCTCCCCATACCATCCCTCTGGGTCATCCCAGTGCACCAGCCCCGAGCACTTGTCTCATGCATCCAACCTGGGCTGGCGACCTGTTTCATACTTGATAATATACCTGTTTCGATGCTGTTCTCTCAGATCATCCCACCCTCGCCTTCTCCCATAGAGTCCAAAAGTCTGTTCTATATCTTTGGTGTTTTAGAAAAAAGTTTAGGGCTGAGGCCAAACAGGGTGGAGTGGGGAAAGCTTGATGGCAGGGTGGCCATTTGGAAAGCTGCTGGAGTAGTGTGGGCTAGAAATAATGGCAGCCTGAATTAATTAGTGGGTGAGGAGAGAGGACTCAGATTCTACCTTGGATTTTTTGCCCAGAGGCTAGATTTTTCATGCTGAGTTAAACCCAGGGAGACTTGTTTACTTCTGGTTTGGAATGATAGAGTAGATAATTAGGTTTGGCTGATAGGTGACATTACCTTGTGTTAAAAGTCACTTGCTCTGTTTTCATCAGGATTTCTAGAATTATCTACTCTTGACAACCACATAAAGATAATATATTGATGCCCAGGGAAGTTTAATAATGCCTGAATGGACTCACGCATTCTAGAAGTCAATCTTAACTTCCAATATGTCCTCTTTTCCCTCCTAAACCTGTGAAGCTTACCATATTATGCCTCTTAAAGTTATAATATTCATTTATAATTAAGAACTTGTAATACAGAAACAGAGAGGCACAAACATAATCATAATTATTAATAGTATGGATATAAATACTTCATTACTGGATACCAGGTATTATAATACTATCTTAGTCTTCAATTAAAAAAAGAGCTTAGAGTGACATAAAATAATGATAGTGATATATTTTAAAGTGATTTCATTTATGCTTCTTAAATTCTTAAGAAACAGGGCAGGGCAAATTATGTACTTGTTAAATCAGGCAGCATTTTTATGTAGGAGAATGATGCCTAAGAGTTGCAATGTATTCTATTAGATGTGGTTTGCTACCAAAATGAATGCCACTGTGATGGAGAAGAGTTTTCATTTTGGGTGCCTCTTTATAGGGCTAGACAAGGGCTCACAAATGTTAGCTGCTTCTACCAGAAAGGATGTCAGTTGAAAATAAGAGCTTGGAGCATCTGGGAGTATAAGGTCATGAAAGAAAGAACTAAAAAGTACAGTATCCTCTCTTCCCTACCCCTGGCATAGTACCTATGCATACAGTGGCCTTATTTTTCCACTCAGAAAGACTGTGGCCTGGAGTCTGCTTAGCTAATCTGTGCAGTCTTTGAAAATCCAGAACACACAGTAACCAAATCTATGGGCTCACGTGGATCTTTTTCCAGAATTACTCAGAAAAGAAAAGGCTTCCCAGTCTGTGCTTTTTTCCCAAAGGGACTGATCAGTGTTCCTTTCCACACCCAGTTTGTGGTGTGGTTGCTATCTAGGCCATGTGTTCTCAGTCTTGTGTGATAGGTTAATGTTATTTACTACTGAAGGTTTTTAAAAGCATGTTATTTAGGTTATAAAGTTGCAGTATAATAAAAAGGAAGAAACAAACTTTTTAAAGTCATTCATTTAATTTTGCTGTTATATCATCTATGTTAATGCTGTCAGTCATCTTAACACTGAAAACATTATTGTTATATTTTTGGTCACTTCTAAAACTTTCTTCCAAAACACTGACCTGCATTACCTTCTTCTCTAATTTTAATAGCATAATTTTGTGTTCTTGGACATTTCTATTGATCTTTATCCAATTGGAAGATTGATTTTTGAGGTAAGAGGATTTTGGTGGTTGTTTTTTAATAAGTTGGGGAGAGTAAGAATCTCTGTCAAAATGTTTAATCTTTGAAAACTTTTATCTTTATTTTTAGCTATATTCTGATACATGTCCCAAAACATGTAAAAATTTTCAGATCTTGTGCACAGGAAAAGCAGGGTTTTCCCAAAGTGGCATCAAGCTACATTACACAGGTTCCATTTTCCATCGAGTGGTACGGAATGGCTGGGTACAAGGAGGAGGTGAGTTTGAAACCTTAAATACAACTTAGTTGTAACATCAAATCCGAATATCCAAACTTCTGTTTATCTGCCTCTTTGAAATTCATATAGAATTAGAATATATTTAACATTAGATATTATATAGATATATTTAAAGGATGGTCAAATGATGAATTAAGATATTCATACTCTTTTTAAAAATTCCATCATTATTAAAATAAATCTAAAGTGTGTTACTAGGAATACTGCAGATTAAAAAGTGATATAAGAAAGTAGGATGGGTAACATTTTTTTAACCAAAAGATAATTTTAAATGCTCACCTAAAAGTAGAGTATATACAAAATACAGTGCTTTTAAGATACATATTAAAGGTAGGAATTTGAAAACAGAATAAATGAAAAACAGCTTATTTCTCACCAAAGATGTTACCCTGTTATAACTGAAATAAGATCAAAAGCATTTTGGTCTCCATCTTTGCTTTCTTTCCAGGTCAATCCTTTGGCTTTACACAAAGGAGGTACCTTGATTAGCAACACAAAATTCAATTTTAGAGGCCTTTTAGGAGATATCCCATAGGGAGCAATCAGGCAGCAATTTAGAAATAATTGGTTTAGTGTGGAAGGAGATTTTCTTGAACTTGATGAAATATGCAAAGGCTTAAATTAATAATGTTTCATTATTTTTCTACAATCTGGAACATTCTCAGGCTGATGAGGAGAAAAATATAGATTTAATCTAAGTATCCTGTATGTAAATCAGCTCTTATATGTAAATTATTTTCTCCAAAATGAGATATCACCACTACTATTTCTAATCCAGTTGTTTTTCTACTTAATTTTTATGGTGTGTGCTAAGTCACTTCAATCGTGTCTGCCTCCTTGTGACCCTATGGACTGTGTAGCCTGCCAGGCTCCTCTGTCCATGGGCTTCTCCAGGCAAAAATACTGGAATGGGCTGCCATGCCCTGCTCCAGGGGATATTCCCAACCCAGGGATCGAACCCATGTCTCTTACATCTCCTGCATTGGCAGGCGGGTTCTTTACCACTAGCGCCACCTGGAAAGCCTGGTCATATGTCAGTGTGGCTCTTTGCAACCCTTTGGACTGTAGCCTACCAGGCTCCTCTGTCCATGGGATTTTTCAGGCGAGAATAGTGGAGTGGGTTGCCATTTCCTCTTCTTAGGTGTCTTCCCAACCCAGGGATCAAAGTCAAGTCTCCTGCATTACCCCTGAGCCATTGGGAAAGCCCACATCAGTACACATAAATGGATAAAATTTTTATGGGCACTTCTGAGCATTGTCTTATACTAACAAAAAATGAAAGACAGTCTAAATGTTCACCAATGGGAAATTAATTAAATCAGCATAGCAATATAATGAAAAATTGTGCTATGCTGTGCTTAGTTGCTCAGTCGTGTCCAACTCTGCAATCCCATGGACTGTAGCCTGCCCGGTGCCTCTGTCCATGGGGATTTTCAAGGCAAGAATACTGGAGTGGGTTGCTATGCCCTCCCCATGGGGATCTTCCCAACCCAGGGATCGAACCTATGTCTTCCGCATCTGAGCCACCAAGGAAGCCCCTAAAAATTTTATGTGGTTATGTATATTGACATATAAAATGTTTAGGATCTGCCTAGATTTTCATCATATTGCTATGCCAGTTGAAGTAATTTCCCACTGGTGAACATTTAGACTGTTTTTGATTTTTTGTTAGCATAAGATAATCCTCAAGAGGGCCCATATCCATGTCTCCTGATACTTAGTTCAGTGTTGTCACTGATCTTCCAGATGCGGTGTTCTGTTTTGGTTTTAGCTAGACCTCCACTCACCCCTGTGAGCCAGGGCAGGATTTGGGGAAAGTGGACCATGATATTTATTTATTTGAAGTAACATTTCCAAAAAGTGCATAGGTCTCAGTTCATGTTTTCAGGTAACAAAGCAATGATGTTTAAAGAGTTTGGAAAAAAATTCTGGTTAATAAATTCAGATCCAAACTGACATGTATAAGTTGTACCATGTTGGATAAGGAACTTGTCATCTCTGAGTCAGTTTCCTAATCACAAAATGGGGTTAGTTATAATATCACAGGATATGGTGAGGATTCAAGGACATGGTATATTGAAACCGCTAAGCTCCATAAGCACCCTCCTGCTTCAGATGTCAGATTCTCAGAGGGCTTTGCGTAGAATTTTGGAGTGCAGGAACTGATTGTGGTTTGGTGGTGTGCCTTAGGGTGCTTCCAGGCACTACTGCTTGCTCTCTGGGACCAAGAGGCCCTACAAAGTCTTCTTCCTCCCTCGACTCCCATCTCATCATCTGACCTCTCCCCCTTGCTAACTCTGCTTCACATATAGGGCTCCTTGCTGTTCCTTAAGTATATCAAGCATATGTATGCCCTGAGGTCTTTCATTGTTTCTTGTGCCAGAGATACGTACACCCAGCTATTTCTCAGCATATCCCCCTGCATCACCCCTGGACCTGTTTCTGGTTTTTGCTAAGAGTTTATCTCAGGAGGGACTTACCTGACCACCCTATTCAAAAACTGCCACCTTCCTCTCCATATACCTCTCCTCACCCCTTTCTGGGCTGCTCTCCTGTCCCCTTACCTAGCTCTATTTGTCTTTCTATCACTTTTCACCACAGGACATACTATTAATACTTCTTTGTTAACTGACTATCTGTTTCTTTTCAATAGAATATAAGTTCCATGAGGGCAGAGATTTTTATTTCATTCACTGTTACATCCTCAAGTTAGAGAACAGTGCCTAGCATACAGTATTAGTAGATGCTTTTTAAAAGTTTGTTCAAAGAATGAATGCACAGATAAACAGGAAACATACATTTTGTTTGTGTCTAAAGTTGAAGTTAATGAAGATACCAAGTTGTTAAGTCACTTTGGCAGGATCTTGTTTGTGGCTCCCACAAGGCCTACTGCCTTGAGAAGGATCTCCTGAGATTTACTTTAATATATTTTATCATCATCATGGTCATCAGAATGATGGTGAAAATGATAATGAGAAGATGCATTCCATAAGTGTGTGATGCTGCACAATAATAATGGCCACTAATGAAGGAGCATGGTACTCCGCCAGGCACCATACATGTGCTCTCCCTACACGACTGCATTTCACACTCAGAACTACCTGGGAGGCACCTCCCATCATCACTGTCTATAGCAGATGAGGAAACAGTGTTGGGAAAGGTAACCAACATCAAGGTCAAAATCAAAATCATCTGACTTTGGAGTTTACTTTTAACCAATGTTCTGCATTGCTCAATCTGTTGTCACAAGTATAGAAGATATCCAGAGCTGAACCCAAACGGGTGGGTTATGGTCACAAAAAATATTAAATACTGACTGACATGGTGTCAATATAAAATATTCACCTGGGAGATCAGAAGCAAAGGGCGAGAATAGTGGCAAGTGTTGGAGAGAGAAAACAAGGGAGTGTCACTGGTGTTGACATAAGTCAGCAGACGGGAATTGCCTGGGCCGGTTCACCGAGCAAAGCAAACTCTGGGAAACCGGGAAAGGAAGGAATTGGTGCGAGAGGACATTCAGCTTCTCCAAACCCGGATCTAGCCTGTGGCTACTGCAGCAGGCTTCTGAGAACAGCCTTGGGCTGTGTGGTGAATGGGGTGGAGGTGGCAGGAAGGAAGTCTATATCTGGCAGAATAGGTTAAAGGCTTAAGGTTTATCAGTTAACTTTTGAACCAGCTTTATGAGTAGTATAATTTAAGCGCTATATGCCCCTTTCCTGCTTAAATTCTCTTCACATGCTTGCTGTTGCATCAGATTTCTTTAAATAACACAGACACTTTTATTATAAAGTGCTCATACTGAGTTTAAATGGGCCAGTTCTTCAACATTTATTTATTGCACATTATTCGAGGAGGGCTCTCTAAAGAACTGAAAGAAAAAAGGGGGTGATGGGGAGAACACAGACCTCAGAGACCTCTAGTTTCACTAGAGTTAGCTTTGGTTCTGCTGTAGCTGTGCAGAGAGGAGTTTTATAGTAGGATCATTGCCTAAGCCAAAATATGCATATAATGCATATAATGTGAAACAGGTTCTATAAATAACATTAAAAAAAAAACTCTTTATATTGCAAAGGAACTTCAGTTCTGAAATACCAGATAAGTGAGTTATCACTATAGAGTTCCAAAGAATAAAAATTTCAACATTAATTCTCTCTAGAGCATCTACTTTCAGTTCAGTTCAGTTCAGTTGCTCGGTCATGTCCGACTCTTTGCAACCCCATGAACCGCAGCATGCCAGGCCTCCCTGTCCATCACCAACTCCCGGAGTCCACCCAAAGCCATGTCCATCGACTCAGTGATGCCATCCAACCATCTCATCTTCTGTCATCCCCTTCTCCTCCTGCCCTCAATTTTTCCTAGCATCAGGATCTTTTCCAATGAGTCAGCTCTTCGCATCAGCTGGTCAAAGTACTGGAGTTTCAGCTTCAACAACAGTCCTTCCAATGAACACTCAGGACTGATCTCCTTTACGACAGACTGGCTGGATCTCCTTGCAGTCCAAGGAACTCTCAAGAGTCTTCTCTAACACCACAGTACAAAAGCTTCAATTCTTCGGTGCTCAGCTTTCTTTACATTCCAACTCTCACATCCATACATGACCACTGGAAAAACCATAGCCTTGACCAGATGGACCTTTGTTGGCAAAGTAATGTCTCTGCTTTTTAATATGCTGTCTAGGTTGGTCATAATTTTCCTTCCAAGGAGTAAGCATCTTTTAATTTCATGGCTGCAATCATCATCTCCAGTGATTTTGGAGCCCAGAAAAATAAAGTCAGCCAGTGTTTCCACTGTTTCCCCATCTATTTGCCATGAAGTCATGGGACTGGATGCCATGATCTTAGTTTTCTGAATGTGGAGCTTTAAGCCAACTTTTTCACTCTCCTCTTTCACTTTCATCAAGAGGCTCTTTAGTTCTTCTTCACTTTCTGTCATAAGGGTGGTGTCATCTGCACATCTGAGATTATTGATATTTCCCCTGGCAATCTTGATACCAGCTTGTGCTTCCTCCAGCCCAGCGTTTCTCATGGTGTACTCTGCATATAAGTTAAATAAGCAGGGTGACAATATACAGCCTTGATGTACTCCATTTCCTATTTGGAACCAGTCTGTTGTTCCATGTCCAGTTCTAACTGTTGCTTCCTGACCTCCATACAGGTTTCTCAAGAGGCAGGTCAGGTGGTCTGATATTCCTATCTCTTTTAGAATTTTCCACAGTTTATTGTGATCCACACAGTCAGAGGCTTTGGCAGAGTCAATAAAGCAGAAATAGATGTGTTTCTGGAACTCTCTTGCTTTTTTGATGATCCAGCGGATGCTGGCAATTTGATTTCTTGTTCCTGTGCCTTTTCTAAAACCAGCTTGGACATCTGGAAGTTCACAAGTTACGTATTGCTGAAGCCTCACTTGCAGAATTTTCAGCATTACTTTACTAGTGTGTGAGATGAGTACAATTGTGTGGTAATCTGAGCACTCTTTGGGATTGCCTTTCTTTGGAACTAGAATGAAAACTGACCTTTTCCAGTCCTGTGGGCACTGCTGAGTTTTCCAAATTTGGTGGCATATTGAGTGCAGCACTTTCACAGCATCGTCTTTCAGGATTTGAAATAGCTCAGCTAGAATTCCATCACATCCACTAGCTTTGTTTGTAGTGATGCTTCCTAATGCTCACTTGACTTCACATTCCAGGGTGTCTGGCTCTAGGTGAGTGATCACACCATCGTGATTATCTGGGTCATGAAGATCTTTTTTGTACAGCTCTTCTGTGTATTCTTGCCACCTCTTCTTAATATGTTCTGCTTCCGTTAGGTCCATACCATTTCTGTCCTTTATTGAGTCCATCTTTGCATGAAAAATTCCCTTGTTGTCTCTAATTTTCTTGAAGAGATCTCTAGTCTTTCCCATTCTACTGTTTTCCTCTATTTCTTTGCATTGATCACTGAGGAAGGCTTTCTTATCTTTCCTTGCTATTCTCTGGAACTCTACATTCAAATGGGTATATCTTTCCTTTTCTCCTTTGCTTTTTGCTTCCCTTCTTTTCACAGCTATTTGTAAGGCCTCCTCAGAGAGCCATTTTGCTTTTTTACATTTCTTTTTCTTGGGGATGGTCTTGATTCCTGTCTCCTGTATAGTGTCACGAACCTCCATCCATAGTTCATCAGGCACTCTTGTCTATCAGATCTAGTCCCTTAAATCTATTTCTCACTTCCACTGTATAGTCATAAGGGATTTAATTTAGGTCATACCTGAATGGTCTAGTGGTTTTCTCTACTTTCTTCAATTTCAGTCTGAATTTGGCAATAAGGAGTTCATGATCCAAGCCACAGTCAGCTCCTGGTCTTGTTTTTGCTGACTGTATAGAGCTCCTCCATCTTTGGCTGCAAAAAATATAATCAATCTGATTTCGGTGTCGACCATCTGGTGATGTCCATGTGTAGAGTCTTCTCTTGTGTTGTTGGAAGAGGGTGTTTGCTATGACCAGTGCGTTCTCTTGGCAGAACTCTACTAGCTTTTGCCCTGCTTCATTCTGTACTCCCAGGCCAAATTTGCCTGTTACTCCAGGTGTTTCTTGACTTCCTACTTTTGCATTCCAGTCCCCTATGATGAAAAGGACATCTTTTTTGGGTGTTAGTTCTAGAAGGTCTTGTAGGTCTTCATAGAACTGTTCAACTTCAGCTTATTCAGCGTTACCGGTTGGGGCATAGACTTGGATTACCGTGATATTGAATGGTTTGCCTTGAAAATGAACAGAGATCATTCTGTCGTTTTTGAGATTGCATCCAAGTACTGCATTTCAAACTCTTTCGTTGACTATGATTTCTACTCCATTTCTTCTAAGGGATTCCTGGCCACAGTAGTAGATATAATGGTCATTCTTGTGTTAAAAAGACCTCACTGCTCCTGTTTCATCCTCAGCTTAATCTTTCTGTTTTTTCCTGAAAAGTAAGATCGACCATGGAATAACCTGTGAAGTAAGTCGAACCTATATGAACACACTTAATTTAAATTCTGGCCACAGTTATCATTTAATACTTCATCATTTCAAAGGTTTTACATTAAATTTAGCCTACTTGGGGGTTATGAGGGGGAAAAAATGGGATCATGAATGTTAAAGAACTTAGAAAATACAAGTGAAATAATTATAGAAATATTATCATGGTATAGATACTGAACAATTAGGTCACTTACTCTTATTATTGTTATAAGTGGAATCATAATTTAAAGCATTTTCCCCCTGCCATTATCTCTTTTTTAGTTTCAGAATTTTAATTTTATTTACTGCTATTTCTCAGATATAGTTGCTGGAAAAGGAGATAATGGAGAGTCAATTTATGGACCAACATTTGAAGGTATGTGTCTTTAAATTTTATCAGTCATATTTTAATTGATTATTCAAATTCAATAGGACTGGACAATTTTATGATCCCAAATAAGATAGCATTTGGAGTAATACACTACAAGGACACATGCTAGAAGCTAGAAGTGGGGAGTTAAAAATGGGATGAGTGGGAAGGCACCCCAATTCAGTTCAGAACAACTTTGTACATACAGTCTTTTACTTGCCTCATTGTATTATTTATTCAGAATGAGTTTCTAGAATTAGGATTGTAAGGGTAGAAGGGAATTTATATTTTTAAGGCTTGTACTTTGCTATGCTCGTACTTAGAACTGGTACCTGATAATCATCCTACTAAGACTGCCATTGGGAATCCCAGGAAGATGGTAGTGGTAGTGGCATAGTTTTTTTAACTTTTTGAAATCCCAACCTAAAAATAGACAAAAAACTAGATGGGAAAACTAAAGTCCCATGGATAACATAACAAAACTACGTGCAAGGTATCTACACGAATTTCAAATATAAACAGGTGAGGTCAAACTACCAACAGTCACACAATCCGCATGGTATCAGCATGGATGTGAGCAAAAGCAGGACATTTCTGTCAGAGCTGAGGATATAAAACCCCACAATAGGCAAGAGCAGGGTAGTGTATGGGACCCCTCATTAGGCTTGAGGCCAGAGCAGTCAAACCTCTGTGAACTCTCAAAACTGATCTGAAAGCCCTCTGTTCTAGGACAGGCCCACACTGAGGAAGAAGTTCGGGGAATGGAGTCAAATTATGCAGGTATTGGGATAACAGGGATGAAGAGGGAAAGGGAACAGAGCCAGGAATCCCAGAAACCAAGCTGCCACATAGATGAACAGCACATGCAAACAGCACTAGAGGGAGTTTGTGAAGTTGGGAAACTGCCTGCCTTCTAAAGCCATACCTCCTTCTAAACACTGAGGGAGACTAATTTTACATAAAAATAAAGTTGCATTAGGAAGCAGCAGAAATTTTCTTGAAGAAAAAAAAAAAGGTGCATAGTCATATAACTACAGATAATGAAAGTACCATAGAAAGAAAGCTCACAGGTCAAACTGATTTCAAAATGAGCTACAAGACATAAAGAAAATGATATGACAGGAAAGAACTTGTAAATCAGAATTAGAAAACCTCAGATATGAGGCTGTTTACAGAACTGAATAAAAGAGCTAACAGTAAAAGAAAATTCCAGAAATGAACAAATTATAAGGAGCACAAGACCGAATAAAAGAAGCAAAAGGCAGAAAGAGAAAAACATTTTTTTAAACCAAAATGAGATGAATACAGATGAAAAGGATTTACAAGAAAGTGATACAGAAAGAAGATCCAGCATACAGATGATAACTATCGTTAAGGAATTAAACCAATAGAATGGAATGGAACAGATGCTAAGGATTATAATTTTAAAAAGCTTTCCTGAAATAAAAAAGGATCTGATATTCTGTATTTTGTTTGGGTGGTGGTTACACAACTATACCCAACTGTCAAAATGCATCAAACCAAACATCTCAAATATATACATTTTACTACATGTTCATACCTCAAGTAAAAAATATCTTTTTAAAAACTTGAAACTACTTACTGAAAGAACAGACAGCTACCTGACAATACTGAACCAGAACAACCAACACCAGACATATTTTACTAATATTATTAGACATTAAAGAAAAAAAAAAAAGAATCTTTGGGCAGTTAAACAAAAACAGTAAGTGATCTATAAGGGAAAGAAAAGTACATTATCATCATATTCTTACGCCAGAAGAAAACAGAGTAATATATTTATGATGCTCAATTAAAATGAAATGTGACCTGGGGACTTTATATCCAGTCAAACTGAATGTGAATTTTAAAGGGCACACAGGGTTATCAATGTGTAAAACTTCAAGGAATAGTGTTGTCATGAGTCGTTCTGAGGAATCAATGATTGCAGAATGAGTTTCATTCAGCCAGATTACAAGAGGGATCCTGACAGAAGAATTGGTGGTGAACATTAATCATATAATTACTTATAAAACTAAAATTTAATGATGGATAAAAGGGTGAGAGTATGATATATAATGACTATATGCTTAGTCTAACAATTTTTTAAAAATGAAAGAAATGGGGAGAATATACACAAAATTTTAAACTACTTTCAGTTAAATTTTACTGGTGATAGTTGTATTATACTGAGATTGTTTTATATACAATATAGGAAAAAACAAGTAATTATGAGGTATTCTAATTTTATAATTTCCTGTCCCTAAGAAGAATCTTCATTGTGGAAGAAAGGAAATACAGATGAAATATGATAGAGGTTAATAAGTAAAATATTCCACAGTCCTGAATTTGAATTGGAAATATCCTGTTAAGAAGTATCATATCTATATTTTAGTTCTGGCCATGAAATTTATCTACAGTGACCAGCCCAGTAGTGATACATTCTCCTAGAATTTAGACTGTTGTTTTGAAATGTCATTTCTTGCTTAAAGAAACTAGGGTCTCCGGAAAACATGGCAGATTCCAGTTTTGAGACAGGAAATTTCAAAATGAGCGTGGAAGCTCATGTTCAGTCATGCTATCATGACCTAGCCAAGAGCACTATTAAAAGTTTACTGGGGTCATGGCAAAGGGCTCAGGAGTCAATTTGAAGAGTCTCTCACTGGTCAAAGATGGAGTAATTTGAGTGCTAATAGCTAACTGAAACCCAACAAAGATTTTAAATCCATGAGTTCATAATGATATTGTAAAATAAATCCTACTTGTTTACCTTCAGGGAAATGATAAGAAACGAATTCATTATCTTGAAAACTGATAAATATAGGTAAAAATCAAGCATTTCTCTTGCCTCTCCTATAGGAACTATATTAAATCATATATAAGGGGAAACATCTTGCTATAAAAGTATTCCAATTAACAGTGAAAAGGAAATTAGAATGTCACTACTTTGCTGCCCCCAGTGAAATAATGGATGTGGGCATTTGCTGCATTAGTATCTGCTCCCTTCACAAGAACAGGGACAGTCAGACAGTGTGGGCCTTCTGCTGAAAGAACGCACTACCAAAGGGATAAAACATGAGCCTGATGAAGCTTTTGGGCCCAGCATCCAATTTGTGAGAAATGCAACCAGTTCTGCTAGTAACATATTCTTAAAAGATCTCTGTGCTTTATCAAACCACATAGTAAAAACCACAGGGCTGATGGATGGCAAAACTGAGGTTAAAAAAAGAAACTCCTCAGTGACACATTAAAAAATAAGTTCGCAATATAATAAAAACAGTAACCTAGTTTTGTATGTTTTATGTGGTCAAGAAACACATCAGTGTGATAATAAATAAGGCACCTTACCCTGCAAAGCCCCTGATGTCTGTGGAGGCGGTGTGGGAAGAGCTGCAGCTTGTGAGTGATCTGAGGTGGCAGAAGGAGCGGTCTCTGCAGCCGGAGGGAGGCTGTCACTGTAGGTGTGGGTGGACGCGGCTCACACGCGGTGACCACGGGGGTTGGTCACGTCTGAGGTGTCTGTGCTCCTGGGCAGCTGGCTCAGTCCAGTGAAGGCCGTCTTCCTACATTACCTGGTGATTCTCCTGCAGGGAACGGCACATTAAAGCAGGGGTGAGCTTCATCATGCTGAAGTCACTCTCTCCCTCACACGTCAATCGAAGTGAAGCAATGTGCATCTTCAGCACAAGCATTAACACAGACCTGACAGGACGGGGAACAAGAGAAACCTGTTGAACTGTACCGTGTACGTGCAATCGGCAGTCTCCAGCCTGGGAGAAATCCTAAAGGGGAACGAGCTCAGGTTCAGTAACAGATACAGTGCGAGGAAAAGAAAGGGACAGAGAGAAAACCTGTGGATTAAGAGGGATTTAAAAGGCATAACAAGGCCGGTAAAGTGAGAGAGAGTGAACTATAGTGCCTAGGGAGGCACACTTGGATGGCAAAACTCTACGTGAGTTAACATAATACATTAAATACCTGCTTTTGGAGGGGGAGAGGGACTTGACAAGAGACTTTGGGAAAGGCTGGCAAAGTTCTTTTTCTTGGCCTGAATGGTATTTGCCTTATAATAACCTTAACAATAACGCTAATTATACATTAGTTTTACAAGGCTTTTTGTGTCTATATTTTAATAGAATGAAAAGGTTTTTTTTTTTTTTTAAATCATGTTGAATCAATGGCCAAAGAGAACAGGAAAAGAGCGAGCTAGTTTTCCTTCTAAATTCATGCGGAGACAGCTTTATCAAATGAAATCATGCCAGTGACACCACTCATTTATTTGTTCATATAACTTTAAATTCCTAGCCAACATGGTGCTAGGACCTCAGGAAACATAGATGTATGGCCGAGTTTCCACCCTTAAGGATTTCAGTGTTTTTGCCCAGACAGATGTTTAAACAGATAAAAGTACTGGAGCGGTGCCCAGTGCCTTTATAGAGTAAGAAGCCAGGGCAGCAGGAAAGAACAACTGCCTGGGAGATTAGGGTGCTGACCAGAGGCTCTGAGCTAGGTCTTAAAATAAGACATTGCAGACGAGGAAAGGGCATTTGGGCAGCTTTCCTGAAATCCTTAATCTCCGATCAGGGTCCACCAAACTTCTCCCCCGCACAGTCATTATCAGATCACCCAAACACTTTCTGCTTGGAAGTGCAGTCCCAGGCAGAGCCTGGGTCTTCTGTCCAGGAGATCGATCTCTTGGCTCATCTCCTCACGTGTCCCTCTGGACATCCCCATGCCTCCATCCATTCCCCTTTCGCTCCAGTTAGATACTCTGGGGATTTCCTCTCCAGCTGGAGGCCTGGCTCCTCTGGTGCCCAGGGAGCCTGGTGGGCTTAGGGAAGCTTTCATTCCTGGTTGTCTGGCAGTGCAGAATCAGGAATTCAGTACACTGTCAAGTGAAAAGGGATGCTCCCAGGGGAAAGATAAATGGCTGAAAGAGAGAATGTGGGGCCAGTATTCAAAACAGCTATGGCCTGGGTTCGCGCCTCATGTAGACCCGCCCTCCC